GCCCAAGAATGCATCAGTAAGTGCTAAGCTGCATTTTTTTTGTATTTAGGCCGGCCTCATTTTACACTAAGACTTGAATTTCTATAACTCAAGAAAAGCCACTGTGACATATTATTCTACTAGCGAGTGTCCATTTGAGATATTATCCTACCAGCGATTGTCCATCTAAGAACATTTAAAGCCCCAAAGACTGTGGAGGCATTCATCACACAGATGAACTAATTTTTCCACTAGAAATAATGGCTAGAAATATGTGGCCATTATATTATAATAAAGGTATTTATGAGACTTCAGTCTCACAGCCTCACTATGAGATATCTTTGAAAATTTGAAATCAGCTCCTGAGGCTGAGAGGGGGGGGGCAGGGGAGAGGAGGGGGGGGGGGAAGAGAGAAAGGAGAGAAAGAGAGAGAAAGAGAGAAATGGCAAGGGAGAGATGTGGGAGTTGTGTTTTGCTTTTTTGCCACAGGTTACATTTATAATTATCTTGCTGGCATAAAATGGCCATGAGGCTTTTTCAATAAAAGGTAGGAGGCACCTACAGTGCAGAATATTACCTACAGATCAACACAGAGAAAGGGAGAAGGAAGACTGCAGATAGAATAAGACTAAATCCAGAGTACAAAGTATATCATCATCTAATAAGTGTATTTAGTCAGGACATTCATTAGGAACAGCAGCCACCGCTTGCACTGGGCTGTAGAACTGAGCACTGTGAGGGCTGGTGATTTGAAGACGAGGTGAATGAGTCCATCCACTGACCTTCACTAGTGGTGAGTAAGCAGAGCCTGGGGAGCGAGGGAAAGATGGCCACAGCCACTTTCTCCAGGCCCTACTCTGCCTTTTGATGACTAGAAATAATCACTAGAGAGAAAGCGAGTGAAAGAGACATGATCACAGACACGCCACAGAAAAGAGGAGGATCTCAAATTACTTTATTCTCCTCAAAACCCCTGTCCTCTAAAGGACTGGAAGTCAGTTTCTTAATACCATTCATCTTTTCTCCAACAGGCTGTGTCCTGAGAGAAGCATATCTCTAATTCCTTTTCAAGTTAGTCTGAATCCAGGAAGTGAGAGAAAATAGGGCTGGACAGGGTCTCATTATACATAGCCTGCCCCACAGGTAACAAACTTAAAAATCACATAGGGTGCACAAAAAGTACTGCTGAATTTGAAACTAAACACGTGTTCAGTTTTTTCTCCTATGCCATCCTTCACAATATTTTTATTTCAGGAAAACATTGACTTATATTGAATTTTTTGCGGCCTTCCATAGTTCGTCAAGCTAACCAAATTCAGTAGCTAGTATATAGGTAAATAGGTAAATAGGCTAATTAGCTCTTTTGGCAGGAGTTACATTAAAAAACTGATACCGTCTGTAGGACAAACAGCAGCTACAGCTAGCAACTAGTTTGATTATCTTAGCACAAAGACTGGAAACAGATGGGAAACAGTTATCTACGCTACGTGTAATCAAGGAAGCCGCTGCGCCCAGCTCAGAAAGAGTTTGGCACATAATCGATTAAACCACAACCAGTGGTTTTTACCTTGGTTTTTGTATGCATTAAGCAAACAAGATAATGTTAATTAGTAAACTTTCGAGGTGCTGGTAGGTGGATTTTGTTACCTTGGGACAGAGCTGTTTCCCCTCTGGTTTCCAGACTTTATGTTGAGCTAAGATAAACAGCTGATGGCTGTAGCATTATTGTACATATTTAAGAGTGACACCGGCTTATGAGTATTTCCCAAATGATCAAACTACACTCAAAAAAATAAATCATTGGACGAACATAATTTCATTACACCACAGCTGATGCTAGCACCTAACAGAGTGTTAACTGCAGACTCATTAGGTTATCAATCCATAGACAAAAAGGTCAAAATGAGCTGCTTGGATGAAAATTGATGTTGACAATTTTGTTTTTGAGACGGGGACACGCTGTTCTGTTCATGTGTGCAATTTGTGTGTGTGGTTTTCCTTTTTATCAGTGTGCATGAATTATTTATTTTCCATGACACCTGAAAAAAACCTATGTGCAAAATACATGAAAATGGTTAATAATATTGTTTTAAGACGTTTAAAGCTGATACATTTAGCAAATACCAAATCAGCAGATGAAGGACAAAGCACAATGTGCTTTAACTGTACAGTTTCAAATGTATCTTTTGCTGTTATTCATTTTCATCACCCTTAATTTCTGCTGTGAATTTAATAGATCTGTCACTTTGTCACATCTAGTGTCTAGTGTCTCACAAGTAACTCACCATGTATTCCTTCACACGTTGCTCAAGGTATTCGTTTAGGTAGATGCACAAGGACTTGAGGGAACACTGTGTCATCTTAAAAAAAGAAAGGACAATATTTAAGCAGTAGTTACAAGATAGTCTTGATAGCAAACAAGCTAGTTTGATTAAAGTGTTGGACATGTTGTGTGATAGACAATACTCTGGTCTCAGAAACCCTAAGGGCAAGTACTCAACATTTATACAATATCTCAACTAAAGCAGACATGAAATGAGGCAACCACACAGGTGTTTTTTTCATTCTGACCAAAATGTTCACTACGTGATACGACCAATTGCTTCCTCATCTCTGACTGAAGGTGAGGTAATCAGTATAATCACCCGATGAAGTATTTTGATTAAGTGAAAACCTTCATACTCATTTGGCACTTGTGTCGAGCACATGTATAGAGAATTGTGAAATGCAATTGTCATGACAGGGGCATAAAATATGTTTTATAAGCATAGGTCAATCCATTGTGATACGAACCTCGGAGATGGCCACCATGAGACAGAAGTAATATTTCTATTGTTGTTGTATTGTGCATTGTTCTATTAGTATTACACTATCTAAAATTACATAGATTATAGACAGCACATGTTGCTAAACTTTAATGTAGATGACCAGACTTAAAAAAATATACAATATTTCACCTAATTAAAAAAGATTTCATCTTGCTTTTTTGTTATTCCTCTGCAAAATACAGTGCAGATAACTCTACAATAAAATACTAAAATGAAAATTTAGTTTGTTTGACAAGGACACATTTTTGCATCAAGACAAAAACATATTACATCACAGCTTTCATAGCATCATATTTTCCTATACAATATTTTGTATATAAGTGGAGAGAGTTGAGTCTGTCCAGCAGAAAAAGTTAGACGGAGTTTACACAGTCTTTTGCACCGCAGACCGTGGTCGGGTGATCCCTGTTTTAAAGCTCTTTAGCCTAGCTCCTATCTGAAAAAAGCCATCACAGACGCCGGTAGAGAAATGCCGACATACATGACCAAGAGATTTATTTCTGTGGCATTGACGCAACACATGGGTCCACCGATAACTGCTGCGCTACAACATTAGCATCTCTGCAAAATGAAAACAGTAACTTAACTGCTCTAAACGCTACAACTTACCATGGCTACGGCTACGTCATGGCACTCTGCCCACACACACTGCGTCACTTTCTTAATAGAACCGCTAGCCTGGCTACAGGTGCACGTTCCACACCAAGTCAATCTCTAAAAGGGCCATTACCTTCACTGAACTTGTTGCAGATTTGTTTTTTCTACACCGCGGTTCAGTGGCAGAGGTTTTACACGCACAAAAAAGCTATTTTGTGAGATAATGTAACTGGGCTGTCTAACTTAAGAGCTAGAGTTTAACTAGCACTAACTGTGAGAAATGAGTGACACAATTTATGTTTTAGCAACTGAGAAATGCCTCACAAATATCTAAGTACTGTTCATCACTTGTCCCTTTTTACTAAATACATTCGTGTAGATATCTATTAATGACTTACCCTTCATTTCAAGGATTCCAAATAATTAGGTCGAAATTGAAGGGCATGCGATTTAAATGTCCCGCTTCTACCTTTTTTCTGCATCCGGTGGGCGTGGAGCATGCGCAATAGGTAACCTCTCAGAGTCGTTGGTTTGAAGGACCTCATTCTCATTGGATTAACATTAATGAAATTAATTTATCCGAATTTTCTTTTAGTCATTCCAACAAATATGAGCCAATCATTTAATGAATACAAACACAATAAACTAATTTAATACCAACATATCTCTAGTTTGCTAATCAAACACATGCCCTTGTTGATTTTTTTGGTGTATAATTATTGTAAGTGAAAGTGAGTGTTTTAAATACTTATCAGGTAATATTTTGCTCATTTGAAATGATAAAGACTGATACATTTGTGGAAATTTAAATTTGTGGATTTAATAGTGATATCATTATAGTTTGCTATATTAAAACATATGCTTCATCAGTGGTATATTGCCCTGAACACTTGAATGCTGTGTACAATTCTTCCAACTCTAAGACTGGTTGTGTTTCACACCTGCTCCATGAATACTTGTTAATTTCACAGGCACAGAAAGTTTTGATTTTATGATTGAGAGCAAAGCATTGCTGTGCACCACTCACATCACAGTTGCACCTCTAGCCTCTGAGAATAACAGTCAGTCAAAAGGGAATCTGGGGCAAAGAGGCCTGAAAGGGAGACATATAGCATAAAACGTAGATAGCCAAAGAAAGTGGAGATTCTGCCAAAAGCGATGAAGACAAGACGACAGGGCTCTGTGTGGGATTTCACTTTGGATTTTGGCCCTGCAGGGATATGAGGAAGCACAACTGACAGGACTTGCGTGGAGAAGTCGGCTCTATTCAATATAACTAAGTAAAGGATGCCCCAAGTCGTCACTGATGCACCAGCATAAATCCTCCAAGGTACAATATTGCCTTAGTAAAGTTAGCTTTACCTCTCTGGTTGTAGAGAGCTAAAACACAACGTAATGTACAAGATCTTGCTCCTTGTTTTCCACTGAACACATTCAGGATAATAGAAAGAATCTTCAGAGGTAGAATAGATACTGTAAATTCAGGTTTAAAGGATAACTATCTAACCACTGTGCTCCAAATGCAGAGCAGGGCAGACGTAGCAAATGTGAAAGCATTCCCTACAGCAATGTAAAAACAGCGAACAGACACCATGACAACTTTAGTTGAGATTTATTTCACATTTTTTGCTACATTCCTCTTAACTCAAATCTAGGGAGCGTAGGTGGGTCAGTCGTCTTAGAAATACTTTATATTCAACTTCATATCAATATGTGCTACAAGTAAAAGTGATCTTGGAGTGGGTAGTACAATAAGCTTTTAATCTGTTCAGTCATGTCTGAGGCAACAAATTTGCTTGAAAAAGATTCAATGTAAAAAACACAAACACATATACAATGAAAAACTTTACAGGTCATCACTCAGAGGAATATTATGATCCAATTAAATAATTCCCAAGGTAGCACATGGGGGTTAGTAGTTCATACTCCCCAATGAGGCAAATGGTGTGACATAATAATTTACTAAATTATTTTCTTTACTGCTTATAGAATGGTCTTTGATGTAAAATTTTTGATGATACTAATGTCAACTATATTTTATGGCATAATCCAATAAAATAACTTCCATTAAGGTAAAAAAAAACAAAAAAAAAACAACACTTCATTTGTATCACAATATTCAACATCATGTTAATTGTAAAAAAAAAAAAAAGAAAAAAAAAAAGATGCTTTGTTGAAACTAATTGTTTATGACAACTGAGACATTCTGTACTGTATGCAACACATTTGTGACCTTTTTACAGCGAGGGATAAAAACAGACGTAGCCAATTGGCCAGTGAGACAACAAAATCAAGTCACTGGTGACAAGCTATGCAACATACTACATAAGCGATAAAAGCCTTTTTAATTTATATGGGTATAATAGAAATCATATTCAACCTAATGTAGGCTCCAAGTTTTAAAACAAACTTTGTTTGGGGATCCAGCGTATATAAATCCTTTTTAAATTGGTTTATGGGGGCTAGACAATCACAAATGTCCTTGCAATCTCAAACTTATCAAATGTCTTGTATCTTCTTATGGCAAAAATCTCCTGTTGCACCTCTTTTTTATTCTCTAGATGGTTCTCAAGTTTAAGAAAACAAAACATCAACAAGGAAACGAAGAAAAACAGAGTCCACAGAGCTCTGCAGCATCGAGCGTTTGGCTGCCGCAGAAAAGTCTAGCACCTCCTACTGCTCAGGAGGATTCTAGTCCAGCTGCTCCTGCTTTATCCTGTTTGAATTGGGTCCTCGCTGACCTGTCCTCCTCAGTTCCCTCCTCAGGACGTACTCGCTGAATTGGGATGAGTCCACGCCTCCGCCGCAGGAGCCGGCAATCTCGAAGCCACGTTGTTGGAGACGCTCTAGAACCTAAAAAACAGATGGAACGTAAAGAAGGAGGGAGCTTTCAGTAGCAATACAGGACATCACTTATAGAAGGAAAAAGCATCATTAGCACCCATTATAAGCAGTCCGATACAGATAGCGCTTACTCATCTATCTTTGATGGTCAGTGTCAACCTTGTAATCCAGATGCCAGATAAATCATTTGTGGAGGTCTACAATTCATCATAAACTATGGTGCTAAAACATTAATGTAACCTCTAACCTTTTGTTCATTACTGCGAAACTGGAAAGCACAGAATAATCTGACACTCCTTCACTTATATGCTGCAGAGTTAGTGCTAAGTCTAGCATTGGAAACAGCTTTGGGAGTAAGCTGCAGCGACATACGGCCTGTGACGGGAATTTGGATGAGACTTCCACAAAACCAAGAGCCTCTCATTTTGCCTCATGCCTCATTTTCATTGTTTTCTGGTATATATGTGTGTTTTTCTGTGTGTGTGTGTGTGTGTGTGTGTGTGTGTGTGTGTGTGTGTGTGTGTGTGTGTGTAGCTGTTCCTGATCTCACAGCCTTGCAGACATCTACAGACGTGTCCGGGGGGGCTGTAGGATCACATTCCATCGAAGAGGCCCCAGGGAGCAGTGAGGCTTTCTCTCTGCCACTTGGCTCAGTGTGGGCTGCTCAGCAAAACCCCCTCTCCCCATTTCTCCCCCAGCCCCAGGCCCAAGCCTCCGCCAAAACTACAAAGGTCCCCCTACTGCTGGCAGCTCTCTATGCCCCCCTTCTTTCTCTCAAAACCCCCGCCCTGCCTCCATTAGCCGCAGATACAGCATCCACCGCCGGCGTGCTTTAATAACCAAACAGGATTATGGGCCCTGCCTGGGGACAACCTGCCAGGGAGCATGCTCACTCTCTTGCTCGCTCTCCACGACTCACACACTTCAGAGACGGGTTTGTTTGTGTGTGTTTTGGGAAGGAGATGGAGATTTGACTTCCTCAGATGGAGACACAGTCCAAATCATTGTGAAATCTTTTTAAATATGCCTCTCCTCCATCTTTTATTGATGCATATCTGAGGATTTTACCATCAATGAATTAGTGAAATATCAATATATAATTAGAGAAATACAATATTGCCAAATACATGCTGAATATAAAAGATGAATTTAACACATTTTTCTGAATATAGAAGCTTTGATTTTACAGTCCTGCTTTAAGTCTTACAAGTACGGTTTGGCCTAGAACCCAAAGGATAGAATAATATTAAATCCTCTCTATACAGTGTCAAGAGCACACTGGCCTTCAGTCCTTCAAAGGAACTTGGATAATGAAAGACTTCAAGTTATAGTTTCGCTCCTCTACAAATCACAACTTTCCCAACAACTTAAAAATGTTATGGAAAGACTAGTTTTCTAACTTCATTGCTGTACCACTATCCTGCAGAAGAACTGCTGGTATTCCTCCACTTATGCATCTGGATTCACGTGGATCTGTGTAACTCTGTCTTTGAACTATTTGGTAAGAAATCTTACTGAAAATGTGTCCCATTGATTTGTTTCTCGGATGTTCCCTAACAAAAATATATGGAGTTGCTTGGCTTGATTTTGATTTTAAATTGAGCATTGATCCAGCAACCCCCTCAGACACTCAGGGGCATCGTCTCATCTTATGTCTACTTATGTGTTTCACAGCATCCTGAATTGCCTACTTCCTCTTGCTGTCAGCCAGTTTCCCCCCACCCGAGTGTGCACATTCATGTGACTCTCCACCATGATTTAAGACGCCCAATATTCCTTCACTTGATGGGATGAAGTCAACAATGAGCCAATTTACTCTCCAATTTTAGCAGGTTGGCAAACGATGTCCGCTTAAGATTGAAAGTTTAAAACACCCAAAATGACATAAGGATTTACTTGTAACTGTTTTTCAATGAACACAGGAGGCAATATTGGGAAAGATGTGAGGACCGTATTATGAGTGTTGCAAAGGGATACATAAGAAATAACTACTGTAGCTGACTATTCACCGGCTCCAGAGCAAAAGTCAAAATCATTATTCCAGTCAGATCACAGAAAAGTAAAGATGGTGGTAGACTTGCGTAATGATGGCTTACTAAACTGATGCTTTGATGAACTCATCAAAGAACTTATTTTTCTGCAAGGCTGTTCTTGTGATTCGATTAGATTAAAAAAGATAAGATTTTGCAATCAGACATAAGTACAATTTGAAAAGTCTACAGTATAACAGCAGATGAAAAGAAGCTGAATGAACAGATCATCACCTCAGCTCCTTGGGCTTATAATTCAATGGAAAAAATACAGAAAAAAAAAACACTCCTCTATCCAAACTTTCAGTGTTTATACTTATTGAGGAATAAACCACCCAGTATAAATAACCATACACCCACAGCAGCCAAAATCTCCGATTACCTGGACAGAGTTGAGGTGGCAGTACCCATTGAGTGGGAAGCGGATGACGTGCGTGGAGTCATGGTTCCATCCGGCATTGACAGAGTTACACATGACATCACCAATCTCCGGAAACACGTCTTCGATCAGAGCCTTGTCGCCGCTGAGCGTGATCCTCTCGCCCAGGTCGGGCGCAACACGCACCACCAAGCACTCGCAGGGACGTGACACCCGGCCCAGCTCCTGGTCCTGGCGCCAGCGCTCCAGCTCCGCAAGCATGGGCTGCAGCTGGAAGTACCGCGCCTCCTCATACAGCAGACTGTAGTCCTGAAAGAGGGGAAAGAAATTGTATTAAATATGTTGCTTGATATTGTGGTTCTGTTTATGTTCATTTTTACTGCACCAGGTCAGCTAGTACCAAATCTCATCAGTACCGAATGTTTTTAAGGAGCAGGTTTGGGGCTTCTTGGTGGCTTAGAGGTTATCTCTACTCCATTTCCTGCCAGCTCTATACTGTCTCCTGTCTACTAACTCTAATAAGTCAAAAATACTCCGCGAACAAGCTGTATAAAATTTCAAAACTATGAACTATGATGATAATATGCAGGGCTTTGAGATAAACAGTGGAAACCCAATACTTTCCAACATAAATTAAGGTTGTATCAATTAATATTTAATCAGTATATAATGATGAATATTTAGAATGATTTTGTTGACAGAAAAAGACCAGAAACTCTTTCAAACGTTCCAACAATAACATATTTACATGTATTGTTAAAAGATACATCCCCTGGTTGTCAAGGTAGACTGCACTGAACTGGAGGCTGCTAGCTAAACGCAGCATGAAGTACATGTTGCTATGCCACAGAACAAAATAACCAAAAACAGACTCAACTTAATCAGTTTAAGGTTGTGATTTTCTTTCTAATGTGCATCCAAACCCAAAAAAAGACACAACTGAGAAGTTCGAAACCACCGTTCTACATGAACGAGCAATAAACCCAGGCCAAGACACTATTCAGCAAAAATTACAAAAGATACCGAGTGGAGGAGATGTGGTGCGACATGTAACACAGGGCTGCGTGGGGCAGAGGAGGAGATCCTTTACCCGCAGGACTGCAGAGCCTAAAATCGCACCACATTTAAGTTTTCTCATGCTCCTCTCACAAATCTACCCAATGTGAATGTGGCCTCAGCCTGAACTTGAGCCTGTCTTTTGTCTTTGCTTATTTTAGCTGACATACTTTCCACTGATTGAGTCACACTGCGGACAGTCCATCAGATAATGTGGTTATTTGTTTTCTCCCAGGGCAAGCAAAGTAATTACTGACTAAATGACACATAAGAGTAAAAAAGAAGAAATGCTAATGTGTCACATACAGTGAGACTCGCCATGGATGGAGAAGTGGCACGAGAACATACAGCCATGGCAAAATTTAGCACATGCAATGCGGTCATGGGCGCCACAGATTCAAGCTTATCGCTTCCCTTACATATCTCAAAAGAATCTTTGGCTGCTACTAGCTGGAGGGGAACAAACTGCATCCCATGATGAATAAATGCATCAGGGTTGAGCTTTGTTTGGAAGAGCCCTGATATTTTGTCTCCAGCATGGGAACCTTTTTTTCAGCGATTCAAGGAAGACCAGTGACCAAAGGCATCCAATGGCCTTAGCATTCATTGTGCGCGCTAAGTTGTAGGATTGCTGACTGGCTGATGGGAATTCACAGTTTCTAGGATGGACATCCACTCACTTTGAAGTCATCTGGGATGAGGAGCTTGGACGTCCTGAGGAAGTTGAGGATGTAGCGGAACATGTGTCCATCCCTGTCAATGAAGTAGTGCTGCTTCAGGCTGTCCAGGACTATAGGCTCTGTGCCATCAAAGAGACGGCCAATTCTACCCACAGAGGCGGGAGGGGTGGCAGGTTAGACAGAGAGGGAGGGGAGGGAGAGGGACAACATGTCAACATTAACAAAAGTTCATAGCATGATTCTATTTAAAACATCATCTCTACAGTGCTGCTCTGGAGATCATTACTGCACCTTATGTGGTGGGAGAGAAAGGATGTAAAAAAGAAAAAAAGAAAGAAAGAGAATCAAAAATGACACAGTGAAGCAAGAGCATGTGCAAAGGATTGTGACTCACTCAGTTTTCTCAAGCTCTGAAATGTTTTTCACACCTTAGCACAGACTTGCACAGATTACCAAGCTCGCATCAGCCGGAAAAGGAAGAAGGATAGAAAGAAAGACAGAAGGAAAAATAAAGACAGACAGAAAGAAAGGAAAAAATTATAAACAGAGGTGGTCTGGAGAGGTCAGGGCCAGCTGGTTGTTTGTTGCCCTAGGCAGGGTGCCAGTCACCCTCAGGCCCGGGCTCGGAGCGACAGTGCGGCCTCCCAGCCTCCAGATGGCCCCATGCCCTTTGGCCCTTTACTGCTGCTGTGACATCTGTCAGAATAACCAAGTTGCTTTTGTCTGAGCGCTGCATCCTGCACTTGAAAGCTCCTACAAATTGTTTACCACTCAAAATAACTGTAGGCTTCATACTTGACAAGGAGACATTTTGTGATAGTACCTTGATAAATCCTAAAGCGACTGATGAAGGAAGATATGTGGAGCAAATGTTTGATTAAAAAAGCTCAGCATTTGTACCATTTGTGAGTGCATCCATGGGATATTTTTGTGATTTGAAGAGATGTGACATTTGACTGTTTAATGTCACAGGATGACATTAAACATAAAACAGGATGGCATTACAACAGTGATGCTGACAAACACGTCTGACTCGAACAGAATGAACTCCCCACAACAACACAGAACCTTTTCACAATTTCATTTCCTGTTCCATGCAAAAACACTCAAACTGTCACTCATGGCCAAAAAAAAAAAAAAACCCCACAAACTTTATCTCCATAACACACTTAAAATACACAATCAAGGTAGAGCAGACTCACCGGGACTCTGGGAATTTTGTTAAGGTGGCCAGACTGCTGGTGTACATGTGTCCGCCCACATCGATGTGCACAGGGGCGTTGGACTTGGTGAGCTGTGCAGGTGTGGGGATGCCCTGGTTACTCAAGGGAGACACTGGTGACCGTGTGATCATGGGCCTGGACATGCTGGAGCGATTATCCTGTTTCAGACAAGGCAAGGGAGAAAACACAATGACACGTGGAGGTGAGATTGACAAGAAGATGCATCGGATTCTGTTTTCCTGCTGCAAATCAAAGATGAAAAAAAGACACTGTTACCACAACCGTGCAGGAGTTTATGAATAGGGTTTTTGAATATTAAGATTTAGAAATACATTTTTAAAAAATCAGACACAAAAATCAAAATATGTCTGCCGTGTAACACACTCCACAGTGTAGGAGTGCAAGGGAAGATTTTTCTGTGCAAGTTAGAGCAGCCTGACCTTGACCTGAATGTTGCCACAAAGCACATGCATCCACTCCTGTGGGCCATAATCTCCAAAACCAAATTAATTTGGAGCATCAATCTCACAGTCTTGGAAATGAGCAATAATGACTCTTGATTTGAATACTGTAATAGGATTTGGAGAAACTGTCTCCTGTTAACCTACAAACACCATTAGCAAGACAATTTCTTTTCAGCTCTCAGAAGAAAATGACTTTACCCCCCAAAAGTTTCAGAGCACTGAGTGAGGATGGGAGGGAAGAAAATAGTGTCTGGGAGATCGCATTTAATGAAGATAACTGGATTTGCTGGGGAAAAAAAAGAGATTAACAGTAAATGAAAGTAGGAAACAAGGCAACAAGAGGAGTGTGCGTGCGAGACATTGAAATATACGTGACAATTAAGTGCGCACTCCACATTTAAGGACAGCAGGAAGACAATCTATTCACACACTGCATTCAATAAAAGCTATTCACTTCGCTCCTCCAGCTGAAGTGACAGGTCGACCCCAGTGTTTCTGTGTTTTTTTTCTTTCTTTCTTTCTTTCTTTCTTTCTTTCTTTCTTTCTTTCTTTCTTTCCTTCTTATCTCCCTTTCAATATCGGACTTTACGCGTTTACCTGCGCCGGCATCACTGTGGTTGGAGAAGAAGTCACCGAATGGTCATTTTGCTTGAGAGACGCTGCGGGAACAGGCTCTCCTCTGACTGCGAACATCAGTGAGGGCTCCCTGCACTCCGCCGCTCGGATCGGGAGCCGTTTGAGGGAAGCGTGCACGGACTCATCCGCAGAACTGATTGGACGCGGTCGCTTTCTCGCTTTCTGATGCGTTAAGTCCATGATATCCGTTTCGTCCATTACCGCGCTGACTTTTTCCTTTTTTTTTTTTTTTTTTTTTTCTTTTTTTTTTTCTAAAGGTTAACAGATGTGACGCGGTTGGCTCTTCTTTCTTTCTTTTTTTTCTTCCTCCAACACACCTGCAAAAATGTGGAGAGGGGGCTTATAGCGAACACACCGGGGGAAGAGCGGCGCCGTGGCTGTCACACGGAGCAGCGTCTTTGCAATGGCTGGGAGAAGTCAAAGCCCCCGACAACATTAGCATTGTAGCGCCTGCGGCTTTTTTTGGGCTGTCGCTGTTTCAGTGGCAGGTATGTGTGTCGCATTTTCAGAATAAAACAAACGCTGCCTGATAAAATGTGATCGTCTTGTTTTGTCCGAGTCGGATCAACGCGCACATCTGGACCTTCCACAGCTGGCCTTTGCCCCCCACCCCCTTCTTTTTTTTTTTTTTTTTTTTTTTTTTTTTTTTGGGAGCAGTGTTTCTGTGCGCGGTCACACTCCTCCTGATGTTGCTGCCCCATTGTTCAGCAGCTCAAACCCTCCTTCAACACAACAGTCCCACAAAGTCACAAAGTTCAGTCAGTGACAAAACCAACAAGGTGGCTGTAACCCAATCCAGTACCAGGGCAAAAAATGCCCCTTATACCCCCCCCCCACACACACACACACACACACACACACACACACACACATATGATCATAAGCCACCTGACTGATCACCATCTTTCCATTCACACAAAAACATCACATCTAAAGTAGCACCTCACATCCCTCCAAAACCTCTGTCCCTCAAGAGAGGACAGACACTTCCTGATCAGTTCCTCATTGGCTTTATGCTTCACAAAGGTCAGAGTTGCTGTATAATAACAGATGACCACATCAGCACAGCAACACCACCGCCACCACCACCACCACCACCACACTAACCCTAATGACATCAGGGAGTGTAAAAAACAGACCACAACATGTCCAATTGCTGTTAAAAGTACTGCCACAGCACTCTCCTGGGCTGTTTTTCATAGAAAATGCAAGGAATCCACAATTTTTAATAACATTCAGATTAAAATTAATTAGTTCAACCACTGGCCTTAAAACATCCACATTCCCGCTTCTCATTGGCAGTGTGAGTTTCACACCTAGATACCCAATTAGCAATTAAGCTTGCCTTTGAGTGTAGGCCTCCAATGCGGTGTGTGATCCTGGTCTGATTTGCATGCCGCTTGTGCACGCGCTGATAAGCGCAGGCAGCAGCCATACATAGTTTTAAAATTCAACTCCAGAATCCCTCGCAGAAGGCAAAGGGGCCTGCAGGGCAAAAGAGAGAGAAATCACATGGCTGCTCTTCAAAAGGGGACCTGTGTAAGGCAGCCGGCAAAGTGCGTGGGATCACACTCAGAATGCAGGTAATTTGTTCCCTGACTAATTTGTGGAGATGGTGGTGTGTGTGTGTGTATGTGAGTGTGTGTGTGTGAGTGAGTGAGTGAGTGTGAGAGCGAGTGTGTGCCTGTGGAGAGTAAGTTCTGAAAACAGCTTGGTGGAATTGGATTTCCTCAAAGCCTTGTCATCGCAAAGGTGGATTGAGTGTAAAATCTGTAAGGCATTATGGAAAATTGCAGGGGAGAGAGAAGAGAGAGTGAAAGAGAACGGTTGGTTGGGTGGTTGGGTGGGTGGGAGGTGGTGGTGGTGGTGAGGTGGGGGGGGTATCGCAGGTTGTGGGATTGGGCTCTTATATCACAAAATCATTCGGAGTTGGTGGAAGTAAAGGCAACATGTGTTGTGGACCTTTTCTTGGAGTAATGTCTGCTGCCTTTTACACTTCCTACCTCAAGGACAGTTCAAAGGTCGCGGCATCATCAGAACCCATCAGTAAGCATGTGAATGTGGGACCGATCACTGATGCTCATCACATGTGCGACTGCAGATCCTCTGCACCAACTCTTTTTTTCCTACCTGTTGCCATTTTGAATTTGGCACAGAGCTACAAAACGTCTCCTGTGCGACTGTGTGTGTGCGTGGAACGTGTTCCCAAAGTTTCCAGTCTTTGTGAAACAACTCGAAATGTATGTGTTTACGGCTTTTGCTCCTTCACTCGTCTTGTGTAATCTTGTTGCACCACAGTATGCACAAACAAATCTAAAACAGACACAGTGCATCAAAGCATGGAGTACATGGGTTGCTCCAGTTACTACTGTTGTTTTCCACCAGTGACAGGCCTGTTATGCAAAAGGATAATTTTCTTCCTTTATATTTTAAGAAACAAACACTATAACTCTTGCTCAGTGCGCAGGCTATTACCCATTCATGCATTCAAAAAACCTGGGAAGCTAGTATCTGTCTGCCACTGCAATAATCAAAGGGCCTGTTGGGATCAGCATATACAACAAACTAGCTTTCAATTTTCCATCCCACAATGCAGCACTTCAGTGTTTCGACATATCGCACAAGACACAATTAGCATTTCAGATCAGAGCATTAACATTCAGTTTGAGGCAGGCAGACTGGTATTTACATAATCTGGATGGGTTGTCTCTGCTTTGGTGCCCACGGCCATTTCAAATGTCCACACACAGACAACTACAGACTTTGGGCTAACTTCAGTCACTGCAAAAAAAAAAAAAAAAAAAAAAAAAAAACAGGTAGAGAGACTGTCATAACAAAAAGGCGTGGGCAAATATTATAGGCTGGTGGTCTGGTCAGGTGTGTGTATCTTTGCATCTCAGAACTGGATGTTAGTTATTATAAGGTGACTAATCACAACTACAAAGCAATACTTTTCAATAGTTTGCTAATATAATTGTTTAAACTTCCAGTTAAACTCGTGTTCTCTCCTCTCCCTCTGTCACGACATGTTGACATGCAGTTAAGTCCTGAATTTTGACAATAATGGTGTTATTTTGCGTGTTTAAAAATGCATGGATTTCAGAGATACGTGTAAGGTTGTTTGTGGTTTGCATCGTGTCATACTCGCAGCTTAAAGCTGGCAGATTGCTCAGTAACAGCAGTCGCTCTGTCGCCTATTAAGTGAAAGGATGGAGAGGTTGCCTGGAAGAGGAGGAAAAAAAAAGTTACTGGTGTAAATAAACTATGCTGACCTGCTCCTTAAAGTGAAAATATAACATTGGGATGAAACACATTATATATTTGGAAAGTAAGTACATTTAAGTGAAATAATCATTTGCACTGTTTTTGAGAATCCATAGAATCAACAATGCTTCAGAACTTTGCCACTCTGTTAACAATGAATAAAAGGCAATGTGAACTTCATCAGTACTCCAGTAACCTATTTATCAAATACAAGCACATAATTATTCCCTGAATTTTACCACAAGTAGGGCTACTATGGCTCTTTGTGGAGTTGTTGTAGCAGTGACATCACAGATAAGGAAGTGTGATGAGCACTGTGTTGCTGCAGGCTGTTGGAGACGGTGGTGCATGTTCACTGGCACAGACTGAACTGTCCCAGGGCACAGGAGTGGCAGAGCCATAATATGAAATATAATAACAGCATTTCCGCCCAAGGAGTTCTAATACAGTCAAGCACCACTAACTTTAAAAGCTGATGGTGTATTCTGACAAATGTAATGTAGACTAACTGATTTGCCTTATAAATATTTGTCTTCTACCAAGATCAGTCTGTTTGTTAAATGTAATTTTAATGGGAAACAGATGCAGCAGCTACAGATGCTGTACATACAGTAAAGTGGTGTGGATTTGTCATTACAGCGCCATCAAGTGATCGGTCCTGACAAGCCCAACATCTCAGTCTCACTCTGTTTATTCATGCGTCCACTGAAACCGGTGAAACCGACCACAGGCTTTCCTCACAGGTGACCTGAAGTTGGAGGATTTTATTTGGTGATCTGACATGAAATAAACGTCATCCGAAATCTTATCCTCCCTGTAGTGCAGTGAGAAATGTTTTAAGTGACCAAATGCACAATGTATTTTTTTTTGTTTGTACATTTTTAAAAGTCTAAACTTTATGAAGAGAAGTAGGTGTTTATTTACGCAATGCACGGCCCCATAGGCGGAATAATAGGTCCAGATTATTACTTAGTAAACTATATTTGCCGATTCGCATCCGGACCTTGGAGTTGATTACGCACGGCGCGGTCAGAGAGCCAAGAGAGGGAAAAGAGAGGACACAATTCGCTCCTATTTGTGTCTTCGTTTACATAAATATGATTCTCTTAACACGACCACGGCTCCTATTAAAAGGCTGCTTCACAGATTCTGCATTGACGTGTGTAAAAGGTACATCCTGTCTTACAGAATAAGAAAAAAAAAGCCTGCGGCAAAATTACTCCACAATGGCGTCTTTCATTAGACGATCTGGGGCAGCCAGGAAGCAGAACTGTTTCATGACAAAACTGACTTCGAAAAAGGAAAAAAAAAAAAAATCATCGTGGAAACGACAAAAACACGGGTTTGAGTAAGTTATGAACAAGTTATACAGCAACAGCGACACGGAGACGGTGATGTTGTTCGGAGCTGAAACGCGCCAGGAGCGAATTCACACGGTGGATAAGTAAGAGTGTTTGCTCGACAAGATCGCAGTCTAATCCGCTGCTCGTTTAGACGAGATGTACCACAGCCTTGTATATTGTAGTCACGCGCATACATTTGTACAGTTACTAAGGAACAATAGCCAGGAAGTGGTTAAATATTTTTTAAGAACTGTACCGCTCGAATCGCTTGGCACATGCGTAAAAGCTGCTGCGCCTCAATGTCCCAGTCCATCCAGCCTCGGAAATAATAGCAAACCAAATAAATCTCCGCTTACCTGATACATAGAGCGGCACAAAAGTATCTTTTTGTGCACCTTTTCCCTCCGATTTGGCCCACGATCTGCTTCTCTTCCTACACCAGTGAGAAATGCAATAGCTTGGCTAAGGTAGACAGAACAAAATACAGAGAATACTTGCTCCAGGGCTCCGAAACCCCTCAAGGCAAAGATCAGGATACAATTAGCTCATGTCTCTGCCCCAGTCTAAACCAATCTGCAGAATAAAACTGCGAGCAAAGGGATCACAGCAGCAGAGCCTCAGTCTTTGTTGAGTTTATGTTTTTATAAAATCAAATAAAGAAATCTTTTTTTTTTCTGCATTTACAACACCCTCACTCCTCCTGCCTCCAACTTGCCTATTGCCTCCCTCTCGCAGAGAAGCTGATTTTAATCGTTATGATTAGTTTTGATGTAACGTTCCCCGGGGCGATTTCTACAAATGGATGGAGTGTTTCTTTGCCAGGGAGGAAAAGCAGCAGATGATGATAATTATATAGATTGTTGGTGGAGCTTTTTTTTTTCCCCCCCTTCTACCTCTCAAACATCTAACCTATCTAAGTCTGTTTCTTTAACACATGTCATACACTCTGCATGTGCATTAGGCAACTTGTTGATGAGCCTGGAATCAACTTATTAAATTAATGGAATGTGGTTAATGAAATTCTCACTCTGTAGTCTCTCCTTTGTAATCTTTTCAGTCTCTTTTCCTCCCTTTGGACAACCTCCAAATGACGTAGTTGTATAAATAAGCACTTGCAGCTTGCCTTGCCCCAATCAAGTCTGAATCAGTGCCTGAGGGTGATGTCGAGCTCATTTCAAATGTTCAACCATGCATGATTTCAGGAAGATTGAGGCACTTCTGAGGCTTTTAGAATTACTTGGGGGATGCAGACAGTAGAGGAATGACTTGTTTAAAGACATTCCTGTTGTAAAATCCCTTCATGTGAACATGCATAATTATTCTGTCTGAGTCCAGAGTGCTATTCTGTGCCCAAACATTGAATTGACATAGTTATTTCTTGACATTCTCACCAGTTATCCCCACGCCATGTACAACAGAATAAGGCTGAAATATCCACTCTCGCGCCCCCTACTGTTCAGAAGACCTACTTCTTTTTTCTTTTTTTTTTAACAGCAGCTATGAAAGCAAATCAGTATAGGCATGTTATTGTAACATAACCCATCATAGGAACAAATAAAACATCCATTTGAAAAAAATATTTACAAACAGGCTGAGGATTGAAATGTTCACCCAGGGAGGAAACTGAATCCAAATTTGTTTTGAAGCAACAGTGGAATAAGAAATCCACGTCGAGGGACGAGTGACTGAGGGATGTGAGAGCGTACAAACAAAAGCATTTTTCCACTTCTTCTCATCAAAGGAGTTCCCTTCTCACAGCATCTTTGTGTGGATGATAAACAGAGTTGTTCTTGAGGAAGAGCCAGCACATCCTCGATCCCCATCCAATCCAGGGATCATTAAACTTTCCACTTTTTGACCATGTATGTCCCACAGGAAAACAAACACAGGATTAAAGTGTCACCATGAAGTTATTTGCCCCAGAGGTTATACTGGCCGGCACACACAAATACACTAAGCCTTGGCTACCAAGGATACACTCACACACACACACTCACACACACATTTTTAATGCCATTAATCTGACAAACTAGTGAGTGGAGAACACCGCGGGCCTTAAAATCCCATACGTTATCCATTTTCCACACAAATGGAGCCCATTCCTAATGGGATCCTCTCACTTTAGTATTTCAAATATGCATCAGATGTTGTTGAACCTAAACAGAGTTCCTTGAATGCATGTGGTGCTTGGTGCCAAAAAAAACCCTAAAAAAAAAGAAAAAAAAAAGTCATTGTTCTAATGCTGCTGTGGAGGTTTAGTATTTTCCTTGGATCTAACTGCTACAGCAGCAACAGCAGGCAGGCGCTGGCTGGCTGGCTGCGCCATATTTCGGTGGACAAATTATCCAGATTGGTTGCAGATGTGCGTTTGCCCCAAACAGAAACTGCGTAGCCTGAATGACATCATTGGGTTATAAATGCATGCACAGGAGAAAGGGGAGAGGAACCCTGGAAAACTTCTTTGGCTTGAGGGAATGTTGTGAAACAGACTGCAGCAGAAAAAAAATATATATACATATATATGAGGAGTAATCATTAGTTTGGTTATCAGTCCTTTCTGTCACAACTGAAACACTGAAAGCATGAAGTTTTGAAGGAATGAATGAATGAAAAGTCAAATTCATAAACCGTCAAACACACCTTTTCTCCAGTCAGTACGCTCAGCACTTTTCCAGCTGCCGCCTAAATTTGAACTGGTATGGCTAGCGGCTTATGATGACTCATGTTGGCGAACTTTAAATACATATCGGTGTAACGGACGTCACGGAATCAGTTATGTCTCTTTTTTAATTTCTGCTATTGTTACACTGGGTTGAAGCATTTGCTATTAGATAACCTATTTGTGGCCCAAAGCAGCTGCTGTTTATCAAAAGTTACATCATTTCACTTCAAAGCTGGACTTTGACCCTATTTTTACACTGAAAGGAAGGCTCTGTATTATCATTACTAATTTAACAGTGATACAGTCTAGACTTTTTGGGATCGGAATGTGTATTTTATCATCAAGTAATAAAGATACCGCTCTTCTCAAAACACCTTTATAACCGTGTTCAGTGCCATTTTTACTGGCTAAACCACCGCACCTACTGAATGACATTGGGTTACCCGGTCCTGCCGAGCTAGTATGGACTGAGAGAGATGTTGGTTTAGCCTCAGACCATATTAATAACTGCTGCTATACTCGCCACACCCGTCTAATGGCCTGTGGTTATGTAAGGGAGTGGGATGGATGAGGGAAAAGTGCTGAAGCTGCTCCAGAGCACTGACTCAATCTGCCCTGCAGGGTTGCACAGTTTTAGGCCAGAACTGTTCATCAAATATTATCTTTTGCACAACAAAAATTTTTGCTTTGGAGAAGTTCTCTGCCGCTACAGTGAAGAACAAGTCACACCATCAGGTACGGCCCTGGAAGGTTAAACATTAACAATGGTAATTTAATGACACGGGAGCTCTCTTGTTCGGTTAGCAATAGCAAACAGGAAAAACCGACAAGCCTGCATATTCTGTTGTTACTCATACCCTTTTCCAGAAACTTCCAATATGCAATTTTGAAGTTTGCATATTGGAAGTTTCTGCCACGCTGCTACAATGGAGTTATTCCAATTTACTACACTTTACTCTGGAACGCACCACAGAGTCTATTCTCCTCATGGAAAGGTTTTCAGTTTGCGATTTGACAAACGTGATCGCAAAAATCAAGATTTCATATTGACAAATCACTTTTTTCCTGTAACTCAGAAAAGATGAGGATCCCTGTTGTGTGGTATCACTTGCAACCCCGCTCGTTGGTTTCCCTTTCAGCCCCAAATGCACCCATCCCACCCACAGTGGACAGAGGAGTGACACTACTGAGAGGGGAAGAGAGACAAGAGGAGGGGGCTGCTTGGGTAATGCTGGGAGGCTCTAATAAAATGTAATCCTATTATATGGTTCCCACTAGAGGGCAACAATAATAAAGGTTTCCCTAATAACACGAGCAGACCAAACCCAAATGGAAAACAGCTCCTCCGGTCAAGTCCCACACTTGCACATATATCCTCTCATTAACCCAATTGCTGTTGGGCCACATTACACCGACAGGCCTTCGAGATTTAGCCGTGATGGCGAGGCAAGAGTTAAGTCAAACAAATGTGTTTCATCAAACTGCAGTTTGGGCTGCTCTGCATAAAGGAATTGAGGGGAGGAGGAGGAGTGAGGGAATGTGTGCGGGTGGGAAGTTGGAAGCAGAGCCCCGAGGAAACCAATCAGAACTTCTCCACCCTCCCTTCCTGTGTCAAAGCCACCGGGGTCTCAGGTGTGTGTTACATGAGCTAATACCTCCCAAACTTGATTGTTTGTGTTAGAGTAATCAGAGTTTTGTAAATTACCATTTTGGAAATGATAGTCCTATCATTGGTAAACAAAATCACAATATAGTAGAGGAACACCACAAACTAGAAATCACACGATAAGACTTGATAGCTTAGTAAACCTCCAAAATGATTATGAACTTTAATACTTCCTCGTGGGCCAAATGAAATGAAATATTTCTTAGTTGTAAAGTTACAAAAAGCTGGAATTTCATCAGATCAGCTTCTTTACAAACAAACTCTTTTGCACAGAAACAGTGGAAGTGACTTTCTCTGACTAATATTAGCGAGAAATGGCAATCTCTCTGCTGGCAAAAGACGTAAACACAAACCCTCATATTTATATGATTTGATAATGTAATGAATGAGTTATTCCGTTTCTTAGCTTTCTCACATAAACGCAGTAAAATATTTATCATAAGTGACAAGGTGAGTGAGAATATCAATCATATGCTCAAGACAGCTTGAGTTATTAAGTGAGCCAATGTAACAGTATTACAGAACCCAGAATAATAAAGTTATTTATCTCTCTCTCTCTCTCTGTGTGTGCATGTGTGTATGTGTGTATGTGTGCGTACATGGGGGTTGTGTGTGTATGTGTGCGTGTCTGTGTTTCTGACAGCATCAGACACACACAGAGTGAGAGAGAGAGGGAGAGAGAGAGTGTCGCATGCCTTCCTGTTCCTGTACCACCCTCCAACCCCAGAGCCGCAGACTCAAGGCAGTTTCCAGAATCAAACAATTTCACGCAGCTACTGGAGGAGGAAATGAACTGAGCCCAGAGCAATAATAAAATTATACAAATGTTATTACAGACTCGCCTGCTACTGTCCTACTTTAATTCAAATTTGGGCACTCCAGGCGGTGCTGGTGGCAGAGACCTTCCTGAATAAATCAACATTAGCTTACGTCTAAATTATTAAGGAAGTGGGAGACTTTCTTGTTTATAGTATGAATTATTAAACAAGTGTTTAACGCTGTTTTTCTTCATGAATCCCCAAATATTAATTGCTAATGATCTTTAAGGTGTGTGTTTTATCTTTTGCCCCTTCCGTTGCATGCTGGGAATTGAGAATCTGAATTTTCAAGTCGCAAGAAATCTGTCTGTTCTCATTTAGATAAGAATAAGATGCACTTTGAGATATACTTCGCTGGCATCTGTATGATGTGCAAATGAAGCTCTGGCTATAACAATATTCATACATCGTATAGCCATTGTTGGTGTTTGCAATGTGTCTGAATGTAAATGATTGAATTATGATGAGACAGCCACTGTGTAGGCTGCCCAAACATTATCAGGTTTCTGCCTAACATCTTTCTGATAAGCCTTTCAAAGACGTTAACAGACAAGCTGCTGAAAAAAGGTGTCGGTCTATTATTGTCCGTCACTTTTTATTTGTTTTTTTGCAAATTGAGGCGTCTGCCGCTATCTTTTGGAAGTTTTTCAACACACAGAGACGCCATTTTTCGAATGAAATCTCAGGATTGGATTGAAACCTGCCAGCGTCAGCTCATATAGTAGTTTGAAGATGTATCACAAGTGCACAGGAGCCACATGTAATAAATACTTTTTAACATTTGGCCCCCTGTCACCAATATGAAATTCATGACAAAGCCAAATGTCCAATCCAGTGGAGACTGCTATCCTCACCTGTCTTCCTCTGTTTAATCTGAAGATGAGCAAGAGCCAGTAAATCAAATCTGAGAGAGACCTCTTTCCCATCCACTGTCCCAAGAGGAAACAGTCATTGCATGAAATTTATGTACTCATTTATTTGGGCTATAAAGATGATTAAGGGGAGCTGAGAGGGTGCTGGTCTCGAGCCACTGAAGCCTTAAGGGACACAGGGCAGCATGCCTGCAGGTAAAGGATCAGTGCTGTCCATTTTCAACTCCAGTAGGCCTTGAAGAACAGCATTTGTTAGCATCAAAACAATCTCGCAGTACTAGTGTTCAGGAGTTTAGTATGGGGAATGCAATTACATTTAGGCAGCCTGAGTGAAAATAAGCATTTCTGATACTCTAACAAAATTCTAAAAATTGCTGAGAATACAAAAGGTTGATGAAAAAGTACTTTAGTATTAACTTTCCTGGGCTCCCACATGAGTACTGGGACCCTGTTACAGAGCTATGCAACACTTAATCCTCCTGTGTAGCTCTGAATTAATGGCCTGGACCAATTTCAAATGAAATGTGGCTCAGACTTATGAATAAAACTGACTCTTGTCTGCCTCTGTCTGCAGCGTAACCTGCACATCCAAGGCTCGTGGCTGCCCTCCCCTGGAGAAATACAAATGGGAGCATTATTTGCACAGTATGCAGTTCACACTCTAGCCAGTAGGTGATGCTGTTATAACACAAGAAAAGTGCACTGTGTTTGGGAAGAAGTTTAGATGGGTGGGGGGTCCTTCTATGTATCAGTGAAAACAATTTTCATTTAGTAACTGAATTACACTGACATTCTAACCTCGCAAAAGCAATATGGCTGCACCTTGCACGCAACTTGAGTTGATGCAGCAGTATCAGTGGGGTCGATCATTTCCTCCACATTGAATTGCACCTGTTCCTTTAGCAAAGGAAATAAAGTGTGGCCATTACAGATCGCCTCTATTTCGTGTCACGAAATGGTATCATTTCCTGTGCTCTCTGCTGATGGAGAGAGATTACCGGAGACTCAACTCAAAAGGGACACACATTATGGGCATTTATCTGGCCATAGGGAGACATAATCTAAAGGTAGATGAGTCAATCCATCACTGATCTGAACCTTCTCTCCCCCCACAATGCTCCCAGCTCCTAGAACCAGAAACAAATGACTCAAAGTGAAAAGCGTCGTAGCTATGGTCACTAGATTTCTTAGATAAATATGTGAAAGTTGCAGTGGATTTGTGCTGCTCTTCTGTTTGCACATTTTCAAACCTGTTAATAGGCCAAAGAGAGGTCTTTCATGACATAGAAATTAGAAGAAAAAATAAATAAGTCTGAAACTTCCATTTTGCGAGCATAACTGAGAGATATTTGAGCACAAAATTACAAAGACAGATCAGCTAAATATCTTATCAATAAATTAAATACTTGAGTATGAAATACAGCAAATCATACAGAGATAATAAATGTGTTACAAGAACCAAAACTAGATCTACAAAATAAAAAGAGCTAAGTATCACCATTTTATGAAAATAGAAAAAAAATTAATGAAATCATTATATAGTAATATAAATGATGAACATGAAAAATTAGAGATAAACCTTCACAGAAACGATGTCGCCATAAAGATGAACTGCTTGTTTCCCTGACTAAATGCACTGAAAATAGAGAGCACCGTATTATAACCCCGATAATAATGCTTGTCAGAGCTGTCGTACGTTGCCTGGGACCTGTAATGTGCTTAATGATCACAAGGAAAATCTCTCCTGTTATTACATATACAGTACATGGACCAAATGTGACACTAATCCAAAAATAACAAGGCTGCACTTTCTTCTTCGCTTCTCCAGTTCAGCATGATGACCCAACCTAATTGTTTGACCCTAAACATTTTTCTTTAACACAATGTATTGCGGGCTGTCATTCTGCAGTGTCCAGTGCGCGCCGCATGCCAACACTGCTACACTCAGGGGCCTCGGGAGAAGCATTGAACAGGCTGTAGGTGTTTGTGGGATTAAGCCATAATACCATACTATATTAGCTTTTATGACAATAAGAGTGATTCAGCCCTGCTGTAAAGTCTCATGGACAGAAATCATTTTCTGCTATGAGGACAACGTCTTTGGAGGTGTGGGTGGGGCTAGGCTCAAGATAGATGCTCCAAAGTTAGATTTTCTATCTGGTCTACAGATTAGTCTCCATTTCCAGTGCACGTGATAGTCATACAGAGGACAACACTTCTGCCGTCGAGTCCTGGAAAGGATCTTTTTTCTCAGCTTTCTCCAGGTCTATGGTGTGGACGGAGCCCGGCTTGATGCCGATGTCCTCTGACTCCACCTCCCTGTATTTCCCCGATGGGTCCTTCTGGAAGACCAGTTTCAGTTTCTTCTTCATCTCAGGGTCAGGGCAGTACAGGTACTCATACAGGCCAGCAGCCAATATGCCCCCCAGGATGGGTCCCACCCAGTACACCTAGCATAAACAGAAACAGAAACACCTTACATAGGCAGTTAGCTAATCAATGCTCCTGGGGAGATGTTTTTTTTCTTCCTTTTTTTTTTTTTTTCATTGCTGTCAGCACAATGTAGCAGCTGACATCGCTATCAAAACTGTCAAACTGTCCTGCTCTGCTGGGCTGCAGATTGGGAAAAAGAAGGTCAACCTTTATCAGAAGCAGGTAGCTCTGTGTCTGCGGTATCAAGCATATGCAACTAAGAGAAGACACTTCTGAATATGACAGCAGCCACAGTGACAGTGACAGTGACAGTACACACACACACACACACACACACACACACACACACACACACACACAAGCACACACACACACACACACTTTGACACCATGCTGTACACGTAGCTCAGTGGAAATAATTGCCTGGATAAATAAATTCAGAGCTAATGCTATTTTACACCTTGTTCAGTGACATCTCATTGTGTAGCTGGAGGTGTAGAGCTGTAAATCTGCCATTCTGTGGCCCCTTTTTTGGTCGATGAAGTTGTAAACTCAAGGGGTTATGTGTAAGGTTTTCAGTAAGCATTCAAACCCTTCTGGTTCTCGCTTTGCATCTACTGATGTAAGTGAAAGACTGCTCTTTGATTTTGTCTTTAGGTCACGCCTATTTTTACTGGTGCTGAAACTGTGACCTTATTAGGTTTCAACATGCCAATCTGGCCTAATGTCATAAGTGGTTGCCCTCTTCAGGACAGTAAAATGAGATGATTATCAAGCTACTGCAAATTATTTCAGAGTATTTTGACATGACACCATGACAATTTAAACACTTTAAAGAGAAAGATGATTTATTGTGTGCAAAAACCTTTAAAACACTGTTGTTGTAAGTGGCACATGATCACTAACTAGAGTCTGTGTAATGTTCTAGCCATCTACTGCAAGAAAGATTATCCTTTGAGGAAAAAATCTCTTACCCAGTGGTTCTCGAAGTTAAGTGTGACCATTGCAGGACCAAAGGAACGAGCAGGGTTCATGCTGGCTCCTGTATAAGGAATCTAGAAGACACATAACAGCATTGCTTTTAGTCTCAAAGATGAAACAGCATAGTTTTGTGTAACATTGAATCAGGTATAACCCTTTTTTTTTTTTCAACTGACAGAATGTGTCCCTTCTACTGAAGAATAGATCTTGTACACAAGTTGAAATATATGCATCTGCTGAACAGGGCGAGGGAGAAATGAGTTGAGCAGTGCGAGAGATAACATCTATTTCCCTGTGCATTCATTTGCTCTGCAGGGTTCAGGGAGCCCCTAGAGATTGGTTGCCATGCGATGGCAGCCTCCAATAAAGATGTGCACGTGGGTGTGAATCAGTAAGAAGTGTCTAACATCACACATTGAAGGATAGATACTTTTGATACACCTGCTTTTTTTTTTCTTAAGAAGCATCACTGCTCCAGATTTCAGTACTTGCACTTGGTACTAGTCTTGTTTTACAATTCTTTAATGTGGTGTGTTGAATTTGATATGAGATGCATCTTTAAATTGGTGCTTCACTTGCTGGGGTTTGGGAGCACAAGAGGAGTCAGCTGATATGAAGATGGGGATGCAGAAGATTGCTTAGGTTGCTGCATTATATTTAGACTTTTTATATAACCACTGGTATACACGTTTACTGTAAATAAAGCTGTTTCTATGATGGAGTCAAGAGAAGTTTGGAACATAACAACATGGTAACGGGCCAAAATAATTGAAGACTCCCTGCTATAAATATTCTCCTATCTCTTATGTAAATAAATGGAAGGTACTTACCGCAAATAGGTGACCAATTGCAACAGCAAAGCCAATAGCCAAGCCCGCGGAGCCACCTAGGTCTGTACGTTTGGGATCACAGGTGGCGAAGACGGTGAAGACCAGTTCGAACGTGATAAGGAGCTCCACGAGAAGGCCATGTCCGACTGAGATGTTGGAGTTCACCTTGGAAACAGAAGATTTACCTTATGAACTGTGAGGAAAGCAATCATACACAATAACTGCAAAACTGATATGGTCAGATTCTTACTGTGGTAACACCGAGGGACCCTCTAACAGCAGCAGGTGTTACTAGGTAGAGAATCCCAGCTCCTGTAATAGCTCCCAGGCACTGAGCCACCACATAGAACAACCCCTTTGCCAGGCTCAGCTTTCTAGTCACAACCATAGCCGCGGTGACAGCTGGGTTAATGTGTCCACCGCTGATGTGGCCAAAACATTGCACCATTGTGGCGATGCTGAGGCCGAAGCACAGCGAGATAAGGACTAGGTCAGCTGGGGGAGGCTTCTCTTCCCCTGCAGCCCAGTTGATGGTGGAGCCCAGACTGAGAAGGACAAAGATGAGAGTGGCCAGGTACTCTCCAGATACAGCCCTCCAGAAGTCCTTGGTCCAGATCCCTTTAAATGCCACCATTATGCTCTGACAGTTACACCAGGACAGGATCCTCCTGGCAAAAAGAATAATGAGCAAAATGATTAGCCTACTTACGTATTCCTGCTGTGTGCATGTGGCTGAAAAAGTACTGAACCCTATCAGGATGGCTGCCTCTGGGCACAACATTTATAACTCCACTAGGGATTTAAGCCAGTGACTTTCCATTACAAAATGCCATACAGAGCATTCTTTAAACATTGTGTATAGGGGCAAATTATCACACCTAAAGTCAAAGCATACAATGTTTAATTGCTGTCACTCATTGAACTTTAACAAGGAAAAATGTGTCTCTTTTGACTATTAATGTTGAAGAGAACATGATTTACATAAATTAAAACATTTGTAAGTCACTGTGCATTTAGAAAAAAATTGAAAATTAAAATGGAATATTTTTGAATAGTGTGCAGCAAACCTCCAAGTCAACAAAGTTGCAGTGATAACTTCAGTCATCTCCTTAAAGGGCTAAAACTTACCAAAAGCAATAACATGCTCTCCCTCTCTCTGTCCCCGCTGTGTGTGATGTGTTTTCATTCATAAGTCCTGGTGAGTTATTCAACCAGCAGAGACATCTCTCCCTTCATCACATCTAATATCTGAGGTGGCTGTGACCTGCAGTACTTACAGAAGAGCAGCAGGCTGTGTGAGCGCAGGAGTGGAGCAGAGAGCAGGTCTGTCAGAAGAACATGATCCACACATTGTGCCTCAGGATTGCATCCAGCAACTTTATTACGTTACTAAGCGGGCATCACCTCACGGGAATTAAGCAGCCTGCTCAGGGGGGGAGGAGTCATGAGGCTTGCTTGCTGAGCAAACAGTAGCACTGTGGCACACAGTGCAACCGCACAGTGACTCAGGCAGCCTCAGCATCTTAGTCATGTCAGAGATTTGAAAACATACTGGAGTAAGCACAATATTCACAAAACCACTGACATCTGAGACGGCAGAACTGCACAATAAATGACGATTCTATTTTAAAATTTATTTCTCCAAACAACAATGTACAAACATTATAGCAATTGTTATTGTCACATCATAGAGGATGCACCATAGTATATGTTAAAAAATCTGTAGTGAATTGTGCATTAAATCAAGTGTGTAAGTAAAATGTTTCCATATAATGGTCATTTGTACTTCTACTCCACTACATTTATTTGACAGCTACAGTTACTTTACGAATAAAAGTTTCACACAACACATATCGTTGCCATTCATTCTTACAGTATTGAAAAGTTGCTCCAGCTGCAACATCAGGTTGCTACTCGATGTTAATCTACCTACAATAATAATTCAGTAATGTAATATATGAAAACATAAACCTTTGAAAGGGACTGTGCTGCATGACAAGTACTTTTACTTTTGTTGCTGAATGAATTGTGGTGTTGCTATTTTCACTTAAGTATAGGATGTTCTTCCTCTATATACTCTAATTGTCTCTCTCTCTGTCTCTCTGTCTCTCTCTCTCTCTCTCTCTCTCTCTCTCTCACATATACATGCTAGGTCCTTGTTAAGGGAAAAAATATTATTTTTTTTTATTCCTGCCTCTTATTCTCTGGGTTGTTCTGTCCTTTTGACTGAAGTCACCTTGTTGTTGAAGACGGCTAAGACTCTTGTCACTGTGTAACAGGTAGGATCTGAGGATTAACCTCAACAAAGGCCTGGTTTAGCAATTCATATAGAGCCGTCCATGGTATCAGATTTAGAAGCTGCTTAACAGCCCTGAAAACCATAAACCATAAACCTTATGTTTGCTTCTGTGTGAAGAAAGAGGCAAATAAAATTCCACTTTTTTTAAAATTTTTTTTATCTAGATCAAGTACGTAAGGGTTTACACATTAGCAAACACACATTGCTTTTTCCTCATCATTTGTTCCATGATAAGATTCCAGAGATGTTATCGTTATGGCGATCAAATTTACAGTATCCATGTAGCATGAACACAGAGATTAATGTAAGAAAAGATCCTCCTCTGTTTTACCGACATGTTTTCATCAATGACATTCTGTGACCTCTGTGTGAAAAGAATTTGCATTTCGTTAATGAAGTAAGTAAATACATAAATATAATGAAAACATCATAATGTTGTATATTAAGAATGTTTTGAAGCATTTTACAGTAATTACTCAAATTACTTAACTACTTAATAATTTAAATTATGCACACTCAGGGTGGATTATTACAAGAAGGAGCTCAAACTACCGCAGTAAAAAGAAAGTACAGTGCTCTTATTTTTTTTATTTATTCGGTTCAAGTGCCATATTGATATTGATCTTCAGGAAATAGGGATTGCAAAGAGCTGAAGTGCTATATACGCTTTACTGTAATCAAGGCTCAATGTTTTCATTGGTCTGCAGTGAGCATTTCAGGCCAAGCTTCTCACAAAATCCTTACTGTACCTCCTTCTTGTGTCTAACATAAAATAAATAAATAAAAAAAACATGTCTGCAGCTCCTTCAGAAAGAAAAGTCAAAAGAGTGAGAACTGCCAAACTTGAACTATTTCGGGTGTAAGCACATTTTAAAAATACTTGTGTGTCTATTTCACACATGTAACTGGAACACAACTTTTGCTCTAAACCATTCTGCAAAGGTCAGTTCACTTATAGTAGCCTGGTGCTGTTTCACCAGGGAATCTGAAAACCAAACTCCAGTTGCACTTTGACTCTTACTGTTGCATGAAGGAAACTGGACAATTGTCTCTAAGTCTACAGATGCTAATGCTTCATTTCTACTAGATGCAGTCTTGAGTTGGATTGCATGCTAACCTCAGTGGAAGTTCAGAAATCAACTCACCCTTACAGCATCACGCATGAACGCATATCTTCCAGAAATTGTGCATTTGTGTCATTCCCGCTTTATCAGACACAGTAAAACAGCAATCTTCCCCTTTGAATCAAAGATATTCTTAAATCAATGAGAATTATGCCCCTGTGCCTCCAGGAGTCTGGCATTTCTTTCATTCTGACACTATGAATTGAACAGTGTTTGTAAGAACAGACGAGTCAATGAATTACATGCAGTATACCTAAAATCACATTCGGCTTCTACACATCATTTTAATGTTATTCACTTTCTGGCTACGATCCTGCTTTCATTTTATTTGATCGTAGATATTTGTCACTTGTTTTCGCAAACTGTTTTAACAACAAATAAGCGGCACAGACAATATTTTGACTTATTTTGAGAAATAAAAGCGATGGTAACAGAGTTTCTTCATATCAGCGATATATATAAAAACACATATTCTCTGAATGATAACTGCAGGGTCAGAATATAGTCATTACATTTTGGCAAAGGGTTCTTTCTTTCTTTCTTTCTTTCTTTCTTTCTTTCTTTCTTTCTTTCTTTCACAGACATACACTTTCAATTTCATCATACTTATACTCTTTCTGCACATGCCCACCCATGTGATATTTTGTAGCTTTTAGAAAAGTTTGAATGATGGCAGGTGCCACAGGAGGCTGATCTTCTCCTGTTTAATAACTGCAGACATAATAAAACTGGTTATCTGGCAGAAAGCCCCACAAACTAAAAATAGTGCCAAACATCGCACACAGCTCCAGCTTTCTCAAATATATATATATAATTATGTCTGAGATGGAGCGCTGGATTCAGTCTTGCAGATGCCAGAGCCCTTGTTACTGATCACTTGTGGTGCAAACAGGATATTTTAAATAAATGCAATAACTTTAACATTTAAATCATGAATCATGAACTGAATTTTCACTCAGGAAGAAAAAAAAAACATAATGTTAGGATCTGTCTTTGTCTCATTTGATGCTTGTGGGACAAAATACATGCTGTACACTGATTCACAAACACTGTACATGTAACTTATGGCAATTTTGTGTGACCAGACTTAATGATGCATTCAATGACCATGTAAGTGACTTTATTCTGAAAGGACATTCCCTGGAGTTTTCATTGGTTAATATTTGTTTTAAAGATCCTTCATGCTCCCTTAGGCCAACACAATAGTTATGCTCCCCATCAAGCTACAGGAAGGTCAAGAGGAAATTGAAGGTGATTGTGAGATAACATGAGGGCCCTTGTAACATGAAAACCAAAGAAAACAAAAAGAAAAAAAAAAACCCCACACATTTTTTTTCATCAACATTACATTATTAGTGCCAAACATCTAACACAGCTCCAGCTTTCTCAAATATATGCCTGCGATGAAGCGCTTTAATCTTGCAGATGCCACCGACCTTGTTACCGATCACATTTTAAATAAAGAAAATAATTGAAATCATAAATTAAATAATAAATAATAACCTAAAATTTCATTTAAGAAGAAAAAAAAATATTGGCTCCTGTTAAGCTCTGTCTTTGTCTCATTTGTACATTAGATGCTTGTGGGACACAAAAAAAACAAAACATCTAAATGTTAACATTCAATGACCCTGACTCCACAATGATTGACCAAACTTAATGATGCATTCAATGTAAGTGACTTTATTCTGAAATAAAGTCAACACAGTAGTTATGCTCTCCATCAAGCAACAGGAAGGTCAAGAGGAAAGCAAAGGTGATTTTGAGATAAGAAGAGGGTCAGTTTAACATGAAAACACAACTAAAAAGAAAAAACACATTATTTAGATACAAATTCAAATTAAACACAAACTATTTGATAACACATTTTTCCTTAAATAGAGACACAATTTTGCTCAAATTGCATCTTTCTTTTATCCCCCCACCATTCCTTCTTTCTTTCTTTCTTTAACCCTAACCCTTTCTTCCTTCCTTCCTTCCTTTCTTATCTGTGTTAACATGAGGTGCCAGCACTCCAGTTTAAAGTCAGAGGTTGAATACAATGACGTAAATTAAATACAGTGACCTACGTTTGTCCTCCATGCGAGCACCAAAAATATTCCAGCCACACACACTCACATCCTCAAATATCACACTTGTATGCAGTAACGTGTAAAATCTCAGTTTCTGTTTTACATTAATGGATGACTGATTTGTTGTGGTGCAATACCAAAAGCTGGCTAATACTTAACCTTTGCTCTGGATACTTCACCTGCTGTCGTTGGGATGGGCGCCAAGGTGTTAGACGGCAACTTCTTGAATTTCAACATGTGGAGGTGCTGCGAGGATGTCACGGATGAATACTGCAGACAACTGCACATCGGCGTTAACATGATCCCCCCTGTGATATTATAAATTACAGGAGCAAAGTATTTTTATCGTTTAAAGACAGAGATTCTGCAGTCCCAATTTAGATATAAAGGGCTTCTCTGGAAGAGGAGGAAGATATATTGTCATCACTCGTCAGTCTTCCTCACCACCGCCAACTTGTATCCTCTTGCATGTTGGGTCAAAAACAAGAGTGTAGAGTAATGTAATGTAGTGTAAGACAGCAAACACTAGCACCTTGCATTCACCATACAATTAAACACCACCTGTGCCATATACATAATGTGACAATTATGCATGCGGTACAGTGTTATTTACAGTGGTAAATATGGCCACTAGGCTTGCTCATTTTACATTGAAATTTAAATCTGCACACTATACAAACTTGAATATTAATGAGCTACATAAATCGTTATGAAGCAGTTACTCGGTATCGTGTGGAGTTCTTCTCCTAGATCCTGCTTCTATAAGTTCCTCCAGG